TCCATTCTTAAGGATTAAGGATAGTATCATACTATGATTTGCCAGTTTCTTTTCCTCCTTTATTGTTAACATACCTAGGTTCCTGCATGCAGGTATTGGTGATCCCCTGCTACTAGACACGGAAGCCTGTTATGCGAAATCTTCTTCCATTCCGTCCACAACCATTTAAACCATTTGAACCATTTATGTAAATTCATAAGACTTGTTTTTGAATCAAGAATTAGTCTTGATTTTTGAGAGTAAAACGCCACAGATTCCTGTAATGATATGGCTGGTGAGATCGTCCTACCTATCTAAAAGTTTTATAGCGACAACCTAATTCGTGGTTATTGTTTTAGTGAGCATCTCTATCCATGGCCGTCGTTTTGCAAAGTTGGCTTAAAAATCATTCATACATGGTGCTTGGCTTCTCGTAAAAAGTGAAAACGCAAATAAAAGACCATATCTGCAAAATATATTCAATGAATGAGATGTCAAGCAGTTTACATAACTTTAAATATACATTTTTGACCCTGACATATATAATATCCGCTAAAAGACGTGCGGTATGACTTCTATTACAACCTCGATTCACAAAGAGGGTAGCGGCTAGGTATATCGAAACCTGCATCTAAAGTTCTTACAAGCATGGGGTGAAAACCAACCACTGACAATGCTTTCGAAGTTACAACTTCATTGATTTTGTTAATGTACGTGAAAATTTGGTGATGACTAATCTGTTTCGTACGGCAGCCACAGACCGTTCTCAAGGATGATATTATTTTGAAGGGATTGCTGTAGATCCCTGAGCGAAGAAGAAATACCCAGGAAGCAATTTAAATCTTCCTGTATTATATTTTTTAGCTTTGATTGACTAGTGCAGTCGATGTGACGTTGTTAGTGTGTTTTTTCATATTTCTTCGTTATTTTTAGATGATATTTTTATTTGTCGTTAGAATAAGCGTTTCTGTGAACTATATACGTACAGTTTACTCAAACTGTATTGCTCTTATTACACTTCTCATTTTCATTCACACAAACTGTTTCATTTGCAATCTTGACTAACACAAAAGTAATCCCGTATCAAATGGTCTCAAATAGTTATAAATGGAATAGCACAACTTTTAACAAGGTTTCATGTCATTTTTTATCACACTTGTCATATAATCTTGCAAATTTATGAACCAACATAACAAAATTATCCTACTAACAATACTTCTGGGAAAAACGATTTACACTCTATTTGTGGGTTTTTTGAGATCCTAGATGGACCTGTTTACACATTTTTGAGATTAACGTAGCTTCATCGTTGCACTCCCAGATTTAATGTCCAACCAGTTCCTCCATAAGCGCCAACCTATCAATCTTGTTGTAGACTTTTAACACAGCTAAGAAGTACTGAGAGCAATCAGAGCCTTTTTATCATGAAAGTGTGATAAATTATGTTTATAGACGTTGATAATCTTTCGGATACTTAGATTTCTTTCATATCGGTCCAATTCCCAAACTTATTTCGGACACTCCCAGAAAATTGCATCTGATGTAAGGATCAATGCTGCAAGGGGTAAGATAAGTTGATGACTGACCAGTGTGAACTTTTATTACAATAACATTTCAGCCGCTATTCAAGAAACGTGTATCGTCCATCTTTTCACGGATTTATTAGGTGATTTATATATCTCAATCAAAACATTCAATGTTCTTCAACTTCCGTGCTGTGCAAGAGTGATGTTTGTTTTTTACATCATACGTTTAGGACATTTCTACACAACGTTCAAAAAGCTGGCATGTCTACTGAAAGTGACTCACAGGATAGTTTGTAAATAAATGTGATCTTCGTATGTTATGGTGATTCCTCTGTAGATTTGATTTGGCATTTGATTCAAACCACACGAACTCTAATGCCGAGCATATAATTACTAAAAAGATTTACATAAAACATGCAACGCAAAAAACGTCATCAATGGTGAACGCGTGAACATCCACTAATCGGCTGGCATGGCTCAGCCTTATAGACATGGTCATTATGTGTAACTTATTTATATTCACATTAAATATATTACTCTATCAACAGCCCAAATATGTTTTTCAGAAGTACGATGTATCATGTTGTCAACTGTCAAAATACGATGAGTCAGCATGGACAATGATGTGACTTCCAGGTAAAATCTTTTATATTAGGCTGTCACACCATGACGTACCTACGATTTTAGGATAAAGTCTATTAGTAAGGCGGCATCGATGACTTAAACTGAACTGCTGCGGGAATACTAAGTAAACATGCAAACTGGGACATCTTTAATCATACTGCGTCTTGTCTATTTCAAATGCACTGCTAGATGCCTAAGAATACGTTTCTGTACCATGGGTTTTACACGAATTTAATAGAAAACTATGTGAATATGGTTAAACCATAGAATACGTCGAGTTGACATATGAAATTACGCAGACTTGTATTTTTACAAAAAAGGCACATTGACCATCGAAAATGCACCGAACACTAATTCTGCATAGATATACACAATGTCTTCAAACCTAGGAACTTCAAAATTCATGAAAAGTAAAATCGGTCAAAATTTATGAGAACTCAATTCATTCTGGATGGTCGTCAGTGTTGATTTTATGTTTCGTTTATTTTTATTATAGTCTATGCACCGTTCTCGCACCGATGACGAAACGTTTCGACACTTTTATATAACATTGTCATGGAACTGAATAAACAATTAGGAGGACGCAAAATCCATAACAAGCGTTTTCTCTATAAAGGTTTGTCTACAATGTCACTGGAGAAAACTCTCGACCACATTCTTAAAACATACGAATATACAGCTTTTTGGGTGAGAAATACTTACTCATACCTGTTGCCTGTTATGGAGGAGCATAGGCCGCACACCAGTGTTCACTATCCAGCACTGCCTGGCAACTCTTTCCAATAGTTTTCAATTGCCGTTCATCCTTTTCATGTTTGGCTCCAATTCGCGATGGAGTGTGTTTTTTCGAACTTCCTGTCATCCGTTCTTTTCTGGATTCCGTGTTAGTGCTTCTCTCGTGATTCAATTTGGTGAATTCCGTAATGTATATCATATCCACTCCCAACGTCTTTCCCTAGTTTCCTTCTCAAAAAGAAGCTGGTTTGTTCCCTTCCACAGTGGGCCGTTGCTGATGATGTCCGGTCAACGGAGTAAATTTCGTAGACAATTATTTATAAATACTTGTATCTTTTTTATGATTGTTGTGGTGGTCCTCGAATGTTCTGCTCCATACAGTAGAACTGTCTTAAATTTCGTATTGAATATTCTGAATATGATATTGATTACCAGTTGTTTTGAGTTCCATGTGATCTTCAACTGTACGAATGCGGCCCTCACTTTCCCAATCCTTGCTTTTACGTCCACATCAGAACCTACTTTTTCATCGATGATGATGCTGGCCAGTTACGTGAAGGTTTTCACCTCTTCCAGAGCTTCTTCATTAAATTTGACTGAGTTAGTGTTGTCTGTGTTGTATTTGAGGATGTTGCTTCTCCCCTTGTGTATGTGGATGCCAACTGACGCAGAGACTGTTGCTAAAATGATTGTCTTGACCTGCATTTGTTGATATGCATGTGTTACAAGAGCCAGGTGATATGCGATTCCCAGATTGTCTAATTACATTCAATCTGTCCATTTTATTACGTGTTTCTCTTAAGATGTGGGGTGTTCATATACCAGTCAACCACCAGAAGAAAGAAAAAGGGGAGAGGGTAAGCAACCTTGTTTGACTCCGGTCCACATGTAGTGGCATTGGACCGTGATCAAACGAGCTTTGAAGTCGAGCATATAATTACTGAAAAGATTTATATTCAACGATGGACATGAACAGAAGGTTAACTCAACCAGATGGCATAACATAGCCTTGCAGACGTGGTCACTATGTATACCTTGCCCTTTCATTGAATATATTATTCTATCTTGAGCCTAAATGTGTTCTTTAAAAATCCAGACACCATTTTGTTAATTGGTACGACACGATGAGTCAGTGTTTTATTTATAAATAAGCCCCCAAGATAAATAGCTCTGTAAGTTTTAGATATTGGATGCTGAACACATTAGTTTTAATGGACTCACCTAGTTGAAGGCGCTCGGTCATGCCTTCGCACCAGATCCCGAGTGGGAACGCCATGCTCAACATCCCTTGCAATCACTAGCCAGATTAGACCAGCCAGTTCACGATAAATTGATAGCCTATCAAATAAATCTTCGGGCCTCCTCGCTTCTGACTTCTGATTTCACTTGGTGGATACGATTCACAGTAAGAGCTGTTACTGGTTAAAGCGTTTTCGAACTTCAAATACTTGTAGCATCTTCAGTGTAAACAATGATGTGACTCCCACGTGAGATCTTGTAGATTAGGCAGTCACATCATGACATATTCAGGATTTTAGGATTAGGTCAATTATAAAAATTATGCTGATAACCAAGTATAACATAATTCTACACTCACTAGGGATGCACATGTCAGCTGACTTCTATGCATTATTTGCCGTGTAGTGCATACTATTTATTCCGGATGGTATTACCAATTTTCTCCGGTACACCATAATGCCGAAAACGTTTCTACAATCTTCTGTACACAGTGTCAAATGCTTCCTCATAATCAAGGAATATGATGTAAAGTTACAAATTCCATTCAATTGAATGTTCAACGAAGAACCGTTGTGTCGCGAATTGGTCTGTGCACAATCGACCCTTACGGAATTCAGCTTGTTGATCTCGGAGTACACCACGCCATATAAGAAAGGCGAGGCTTTCACCACCGACGATTTCACCGTTCTCCAAGAGCTATTTAAACTTTTAAATATGGCCGAACCCTTACTTTTGAACTACATATATCCATCATAAAAAGTGGTGAGCAATTCTTACATAAGTATCTCACTTTTATGCGCTAAAAAATAATACTCTGTCCTCGTATAATTTTTTAGTGCAAAGCATAACACTTTGAAAGTTCATTCGAACGCTAATGTTTTAACATTCTGTTGCACGCTTTATTTTAAGGATACATTTTAAATTTGTACATTTCATTTAGCAACGGTGCGGATTGTATAGTGGTGTGAGTTTTCTCACTTGTAACTTCTAAGAATAGTGTCCACTTGAAAATTTTTAAATGTCTGTGATGATCAATGCCTTAGTCAATTATATGCATTGTTATTGTATCATAAAAACACTCGTTTTCAATGATAGTGGACATAACAAGAGAGTATGAACTCTGTTATGCTATTCGGTTACTCAAGATACAACTTTGAACTGAACAAATGTGTTTCAGATGTGATGAACTAAATATTCGGATACTCAACAGCAGGAAACATGTCTTACAAAGTCTTGCTGTTTTCAAGCTTTTTGTTTATGGATTTTTAAGGTGCATGTTAATTAAATATAACGACATTATATTGAATCACTTACTAACCTTATTGTAAGTTTACTGTCTACACCTTTTCAGCATATATACATCCGAAATTCCTACTGATCCTACTTGAAATGTTTAAGTTTCCTTTCAGGAAATAGTATCGTTCACAGCGTTGTCTAGCCCGAATAATATATTCAGTTTTCTATGTTCTATAAAGAAGTGATGATGTGCTTTAACTCAAACAAGTTTGTTAAGGTTGTAACTCTTAGACGTCACGACGCTGATTAAAGGATTCTGTATCTTCAAATCATAAGTTCTTATAAATACATATAGAAATCAGTTAGATACAAATCTTATTGAAACGTTCAAATTATTAAGAAATTAGAGTATTTATTTGTTGCATGGCCTCTGATGTGTATGGTCGTAATCACAAAGTTGACCTCGTTGTAAGCCCTACTTATAACTCATCGTATAACCCTTAACTTCAGTCTTCAGTCTAGAAATAAACAGAAATTTATCATCTATTTTGTGTTACCACTTATTATGACTCTTGAAAACCTGGAACACTAGTCTAAAAGGTCATGTTGGTAATTTACAGTTATTTCAAAGTGTATTGAGCTTCCCTAATCTAAACATTTCTATGATTATTGGTTCAGTAATTTGAAGGAAGCTTATCACATTTACGAATAAGACATTGGTATTTTTCGATTAAGCTAACATACAACATGATTTCGTCCCTTGTTTGATTGTTTACGCGTATCATATGAAAAATATAATATCAACTGTAAGAATTAATTATTGGTTTTGGGAACTAACTACTAGTAGTATTTTACAACCCCAACTATAACCCACTTTCCTAGAAATGTGGTTGTGTATATGACTCTTAGTCGACTTCAATAATAAACTCAGTCTCGACTACGAACATAACTTTAGTTTTGTCCTATTATTTCATCACCAAAGTCACGTCTGATTTAGAATGATATGAATATTAACTTATAACATATAGTGATCATTTAGGGTCAGCCTTTCTGCCTAAACTGTCTTTCACTGTTTTTATAAGGTGAACTGCAACGATTAACTAAACTTAGCATCCTCCAGGCACATTTTTCTATTCTTTATATAAAGTCCTTTTTTATATTAAATTTAATACAGCGACAAATACACGTTTCTTAGCACTTTTTCAACTAGTTAAGTAGAATACGCACAATAAAACTGGGTAGGAAACTTTATTTCTAATGCTTAATAATAATGCACAGAGCTCAGACGTGTATATACATTATCAGACTCATCTAGATATGAACTTGTTGATGATAACCATGTCCAAGTATGTACTTTTTTTTACTGACAATGACCATTTCACGTGTACATTTACAACATACCTTGCTGTCACCAAATAACATATGATTAATTTATGCTTGCCATGTTTTTCAGCCGTACTCTTTATTACCAATGGACTTCGCTTTCAAAAGTCACCTTACCCAACCCCGACTCGTGTTAATGCGAGTAGACTTTACTCTCACTGTTCAAACCCAAAACAACTAGTGTTTAAACTCAGAGTTTTGTTGTTCGATATACGATTGCCTCTACTATGTGAACGATATCTGACTTGTCTAAAACGTTCAACTGAGTTAAATTCTCATTTTTAAGATTTTTCGTGTTCTAGCCTAATCAACAACTATAACTGTTCTATTTTGGCCTCCATTCTACATTTTAAAGGGAGTTAATTTGTAACGATTTTTATTTGTTTACGAGTTTCTTAAGTAAGTTTTCCCTCCCTTTGGAAATTGAATCAAGTGAGTCGCTTCAATTTAAAACAATAATTAAAAGATAATGCTGCGTCTTTTGACGTCAGATGTGTTATACCTTACAGAGATTTCTACCAATACTCCAAAATTTTCATTCGATAAGATAAGTTATTTGGATGTCGAAGACTTGATCAATTCAAAATTAGATAAAGGACCAATTATTTTGTGCACTGCGTGGATATATCTGTATATAATCATTTGTACATCCAAACCCGGTTGAACTACAGTTAATTACAAGGGTGTAACTAGATTGATTTGGTATACAAACGCTCTTCCATAAAATTAAAGTGTCCAGGTTTCAAAACTTGATAAGTCTTACTTTCTGAATTAAATTCCATAATACTGAACAAGATGGATGTTTGATGTAAATCTCAGCTGTCTTTTTTAATCTATGTATTTCTTAACAGATGCATACAAGTAAGAAAACTAATGCAAACATATCATCACGTATCATCGGCTCATTGCTTTGTTTACTGATCACCGTAAGCTTCATATTATTCGTATTTTTCTATTTATTCTAAAACTTATATTTCAGTTGTTCGGTGCAGCTTTAACCGGTTTTATAGGTCATATACTTATTGCTTTTGAATATATCAGTGAAATATTTGGAAGATATGTATTATTTGGTGGAATTTATGTTATACTAACATGTGGCTTGTTCACTGTATTGATTGGTCTGCTTGGGTTTTTCAGTTTCATACATCCAAATCGATGTACATCTATCACGGTAATTAATTTTATACTGATAAAAATACAAATGTAACATTATTTTCTTTCTAGACTTGTGTTGGTCTAGTTATTCTCATTATTACTACTACTTGCATATCGGTGATTGTTTATATGTATCCTAAAACTGTAAGTTTAGTTATACTTTGAAGCATCTGAATTTTATATAAATTTTATTTTTCATTCTATACCATTTGTGGATTAGAAATTATTTCTACTTTTTTTAATATTTATTTTAATGAAACTTTTATCTTGCGTAGTACGTGCAACTACATGTAAAAAAAGTTAATTTACTGAATGAAAAGTGGAAAACTGACATATAGAAGTCATTATATTATGTGATAATTTCCGGTTGAACCCAAAGACATCTAAATATTTATAATAAAGTATTGAATGGACAAATTTATTAGACGGATACATGCAATTTAGGAAGAGCTACAAGTATATAAACACATAAGTTTTAGTGAGAAAATAATTAGGAAGATGCAACCGTTTTGGGGTCATACTTTGCATTTGAGGGTTGGTGATAGTATCTATCTATCTAAATTGGAATAGGTAGAGCGGGACTCAAATCTGCTACCTAATATTCGAAAATCAAGCACTTTAATTATTAAACCATTACTCTTTACCAACAAGTTTCCATGCTTCACATTAGCACGGTGGCATGAAAATTGACAAGCTAACATGGCAGTAACAAAATTATTGAAAGTGGAAATCTCATGAATAAGAGGTTAACTTTAGGTGTAACGACCAAACGTTAAGAAAAAAAGAAATTTGCTTGAGTTAACACTGAGATCATGGTGTGAAGGAAGGTAAACAATTACTTCATCAGTTCCAATTTCGCCACTTCTAGACAATATATCATCCTCTTCTCAACATATTTGGTATATGACTAGTAGTCTGATCAAATGGACATTTGCTTCTCAAATTATATATATACTTTTTTCTGCCAGATTCTATTTTATACTCTCTTATGTGGTCTATAACTACTAAATTGTATTACCTAAAACATAAATCCTTTTTAAACTCAGTGTTTATTGAATAATATTCATAACTTGAAACAAAGCCCGCTGTGTTTTTTTACTAAGACGTTCCACGAAACAAAACCGTCAGTAAAAATGTTGAAAGCGATTTGAGAGATTTTTGAAACTTTTCAGTCGTACTCGATTTTTTCTGATCACGATAATGTGGAATATGTGTATTTGTATACCAGTTTTCTCTAGCAGTCTGTTTTGAGTAACCGGGTTCACAGACCAAATGACTCTCTCACACTCACTAATGATTAAGAAAACTGGTGGACAGAAAAAAGATGATACTAGCATTGATAAATACAGTCAAAAATTCATAGGTATATAATGTGTTTTCAACATTCAACCAGTGAGGATGTAGTCTTTTAATCTCTTATCGTTATTTTAAAATTTAAATATGATGATTAACAAAAAGGATTTTGGATTATATATATTTGCCTTTATTCTGGACTGTTTCTGTTAGAAACATGTGAGCCTGGATATTCACTTTGGAAATTAAAGAAATGAGTAAAGTATTTTAAATATTCTTATCTTTCTTCACAAAATCTGTTATAATAAATAACATGCTCATCTTAAATGGTCATTCTTTATTAACAGGAATAACTTCACAATATTCATTCTCTTCTTCAGCATTGATTTAAAACTTTCTTATGAATTTCTGTATACTTTACTAAACAGAATATACAGCTACGATTTAATAGACATTTTGTGAATACATTGTATGTCGTATAATGTCTTTCGAAATTCCTTAGTAAACAGATCATTTTCGAGACTCTGAGAACTTTGAAACACATCTTAAAATGTATGTTGGAATAAATATAAATTACATCTGTTTCGTCCACATAATTGGTTTTTTTAAATCAACTGTTATTTACATGACCGTCAACCCAAAAATGGTAAATTTCTGTGAATTTTACTAACTTGCATCACTAACTACTTATAAGTAGTCTAGACATTTACGTATAATTTTCATGTCCACTTCGAAATTTCCGCTATCAAATAAACCGCTTATCATAAAAGACATTCTTTGTCCCATAGTCAGTAGTGGAAACTGGCGTGTCTGAAAGAATCCAGCATCAATGCATACAAAAGAAGCACTCTGAAATAAAAAAACGAGTGAAAGTATCAGATGTGCATCATCAACAGAAAAGAATACCTACGGTGGCTAATAACTAACAATAATAAGAAACTAGAGATTTAAATAGTTTTGCTAATCACTTTGAATAGGTTCTTCAGATAAGACAACCATAATCTTACAGTTTCTCTTGTGCTTTGTTTAGCAATCTTTTTTATACAATTCAGACTGGTTAACACAAAACAGAATTCCATGAGTTCTAACTGTAAGCTGGATGAATCTCAATAATTTCAGTGGTGAGACAGGTACCACTGATACCCGTAGATGATGGTTACATAATACAAAAAAAACAATGAAGTTAGAAATTCAAGTGGTTATTCAATTGCCTGAAGTTAATGCACACCTTAATAGTCATGAAGGTTCTAGTTTTGAACTTTTACAGCGTATTAGGTATACACTATTGTGGAGCTTCATACGAGCACGAAATAAAAGTTCACTTCTCTTTACTTTTTAATGGTTGTCCAAATAAAGTCACCTCGTGATGTAAGCTATCTTTGAATATGAATATTTTTAGATATGATGGGCTGAAGTGAGATTTTATAGCATAGTTAATTTATACCGAAAATCATATCATTGTTCGATTCCTTTGAGTATCCCATTATCCTTTTCAGAATCTTATCTACACAACAATTCAAATTAGTAAATTGTTTGCAATTGTTTAAACAAATATCACATGTGAGGTAAATCAGTCTATACAAATTATTATTTTGACTAGTATTGGGTTTTTTGGCAGACATTTTATCCATTTAATTTTTTCCCTGATTCTGTACAGATGACAAATTTGATATATTACCGAATGATCAAAACATTTCCAAATTACGGCCAAAATATGCAAATAACTAATGCATGGATATTATGCAAAGTAATCTAGGTGTTGTGCTATACATAACCGAGGTTGGTCAGATTATAATCAAACTGTTTGGTACAAATTAACCAACGCTGATATACATCTTCATGATGAACTTATACCACGTGTGTATTTGTTTTTTTTTTGGAGTAATTAACACTTTCTTTGTGTTTGAAACATTCATAATCATCTCTTGCCAAATTAATACACTTTAAACTACTGTATTTAATATCCAGAGGTTTGGTTTTTACTCGCTGTGTAATTCATTTAGTCGTTGTAATTCAGTTCCGAACTGCTTATCGCTGAACAAGTGCAACTCGTGAGATTGTATAACAAGTGATATCACAAAACATGTATACACAACAAAGGTGACCTTATTGCTCACGAAGCTGTGATAGTATCATAATCCAACACCTAGCTTGTTAGTGCTAAGAATTATCCCGAAAAATTAAACCTTTTATATTTATTTTTAAACGAAATTAGCATTATAACAGAAAAATAACTGAATAATTTACTCTGCATTGAACCGTTTTGAGGATTTTGATAAAAAAAAAGAATGTGTGATACTTGAGTTCTCAAATCAAAACACGGGATTTGTCTCGAAAGAAGTGGGACTTTAAGTAAAAAGGCAACATAAATAATAAGGTTTTACAAAATTAAAATAATGAGTTGTCTATGGAGCATTAACAACGCTTTAAGATACAAGCAGCAAGAATATGCTTCCTTCAAATCAGTTTATAGAAACAATTATTAAAAGGACACAATAAATCAAGGTTGTACCAAGGAGCTGGGTCATATCAGTAATGACAGTTAACAAACTGAACTGAGAGTTATACAACAACAACTATGAGAAATTTCTTCAAATACATCAATTTCCAATGAAAAACATAAGAAATGAAGGCAAACTATTAAGAATGGTGAGGGAATACAATTACGGTAATTAAAATGAATCAAACTATAAGAATATATGTAGATACACAATACAATTCAAGCACATCAAAAAGTCAATTCATCAGTTGTAACTTAAGATTCATTAGAGGTATAGTTAATAAATGAACTTACCAATTATTGTGCTACAAGTCAATCGTCTTGGCTCCCTTTAACCTTGTATGACTATGTTTTGTTTATTCCCTAATCACAATCGTAAATGTTTGTCATAAACGATATTAAGTTTTGTGGAATCCTTTTTTATATCCTTTAGTTACTGTTCAGTACGTTATTTATGTCGCTCTTTTCCCCTCCTTTCTAGACTATTAATTTCTGTTTTTGTGCATAATAATGATGTTAATTTTTATTTTAAAAGCACATAAAGCTTATCAAACCAAATAGTTTACTTATTGTGACTTTGACCACACTAAGACTCTGGGGACTAACTTAAGATTCTACCTGTAGTTAACTATATGCTGCAATCCGTATAATGTGAACGTAAAAATTATTCACTTCATTTTTTGTATTGGTTGTATGAGTCTTCTCACTGATGTTTAGGACTGCAATTGATTAGTCTCTTATTGGCGTTAGTGTATCTCGTGCGGATTGCCCTAATATTACCTTAAGACACAAACGTAATAAGCAAAGATGGATGATGACGAGCAGTAGATTCCAGGACGCCTGTTCCGTCCCATTTGGGATTCGTCAGCTGGATGTGCATGCATTCCAGAGTTGATATTCACTGCGGGACTCGAACTGAGTACCGTTCGATTCAAACACCATTGCGTTATCCATTTAACTATCGAATCCAGATAGTCATTAAGCTTATGCGATGCGGTGAAGTTTATAAGAATTATTTGTTTAAACTGACTTATTAAGGTGAATTTGGTTTATCTTGTTGATTTGGGATGTACAACATACTAATTCTTCCTTGTTTAATCTGCTCACATTTCAACCCAGTAGTCCCCCATTCCATCTCATCTGTTAATTACTTTAGTACATGTTTACAATCTGTAAATACATAAAACTATTCTGTTTACCTTTAATATATTAAATCAATCTCTCCTTTTCTCAAATGGGACTCAGTTTTATTTATTCATCTTTGAATGGCTGTTTACTTATAAAAAATTTAACCCCCCCCTCAAGGGAAGACACTAAATTTAATTATCAATAAATTAGTGTTTAGTCTTACTAAGAATGTTGTTTCTCTTAATCTGGTATATTCATAATCAATTTCATTTTTTACAATAGAATCTAGTTGATTTATTATACACAATCCTTATACTTGTATCAGGGATACTCTTAAATGTTCTTGTTGTCATGAGAAGCAATAATTTAATCCCTAAAATATAATTCAATTAAATTTGTTTGCTTACCTATATAAATAATCATTATTATTACTACTTCATTTAGGTGCTTTAAAGTAGGTAAGTTTAAATGCTTAGAATATTCTATTATTCAATATGCTTCAGTGTTGAATAAGTGTCATCTAAGATAATTAATCACATTCAGAGCATTGATTTTCATCTTACAGGTGAAATATTCACCAAATTAGAAATTCGTATATATTATGATTCTATCCTAAGAAAACTGTTCACAAATCTATAATATCAAATAAAAATTATATCCATTGTACTACTATGAAATGATTTCCATAGAATCCACTATATTAAGCTTTTGCATTTCAAGCAATATGAATCTGTATCAGTTGAACTTAGATAAATCCGATAACGAATAAATCATTTGAGCAAAACTGTTAATTATTGATATTTATCAGTATGAAGTTATGAAGACTATTAAATTTTACTGAGATCACAATTCAAATTTAAGTTGAACATTTATTCACAACTTTGAAGCACTGAATAGCCATTTCGTCCTAGTACAGGACTCCTTAGCAGCGCGCACCCACGACCTCGAACGTGGAACTTGAAGCCGGGATCTTTGATTTCGCACGCAGACGCTTAACATGTAGACAACTGATCCACGGTACAAAGGTATACATGTCTAATTTATAAATGAACATAATGGGACCCCAACTCATTGATCTAGAGTCTAAGCGTCTGGACGCTAAAACTAAGGTCCCGGACTTGATCCATGAATGCGGAGTCACGGAAGCATACTGCTATGAAGTACCATTCTAGAACGAAACGGTCGTCTAGTGCTCCCCAGTTTTCAATGATGGTCTTACTTAGATTTGTAACCTCAAAAAAATAACGATACTTTAATAATCAGCTGAATCGGGTTTTACTCATTTCATATTGCGCATCACTATAGCTTTTGCCTGCATAGATTTTTACAGCTCTATTTTGGTGTGCAAGCTTTTATCACAATACAAATATTGTAACTGTGTTTGCATAAATATAAAGAATCACTTGTGTCATTAAAATAATATTTAATAAGTTTTCTTCTGTGTGTGGAAATTTCTATTGATTTTTGTAGGTACAAATCTTTACTATCATTTTGTCCCCGTATCTTGTTGCTTAACTAAAATTGACGGTTTGACTGGATTCCTTTACAAATTTATCGTAATAAGAAACGTTGTCAAAATTGGCAATACGGTCCACCAACATTCCAAGATGGTCCACATAATGATGCATTATATTATCGAGTAAGTTGACTAAAGTTCTGTATAGGCTATTTCAATGTTTTATTTCGTGATACAGTCGATTATACGAATGAATTACGTATTCTTTAATTACCAATATTACAGTGAAATCGTTTAAATAGATTTGATTGGTTAGAAACATTTTATATTTCATCATGAACTGATCTTGTTTTGTTTTCAGTAAATTTCATTAAAATTAAGGTGCATATGGTACTACACGCGGGACTGGAACCCAAGGATTTTAACCGCGCACGAGCGCTCAACCTCTAGACCACTGGGTTTGTACTCAACGGTGTTAATGTGTAACATCAGTCAATCCATGAAATCGTGCGACCATCTTCCGTTGTGTTCGGTGAGGAACTGCCCAACACCCGACATGGTTGAACTCTACTGACCACAGCTTCTCACTAGAACTCCGAAATTACCTCTCGAAGCTACTCACTAGTAAACACATGATGATTATCAGTACAGGGTTGTGGAGATTGTTGTTAAACTTTTGTTTCGTTTTTTCACTTTGACTATGTTGTTTACGTTACGTTCTTAATCCTGTAGAGCCGATTTGAAAAGAACTGATTGGTAACTCGATGAATGTATTTATCCATCAACAAACATGCCGATAATGAGGATATTATGTTCTAAATTATTAGAAAATTTAAAAACTCCATTAAAACAAGAAATTCGTTGGTAAGCTAGGAGAAACCTAGTGGCAGCCAAGTTAAAACATGACATCAATCCATGAAGTCAATTGAATAACCAAATTAACAGATTTAGACTACCTGGTTGTGATCCGCGTAATTATCGCAACCAGTGGTTAGAGACTTTGAATGATACGGCTTAAAATCGTTTGCGATGTTACAGATGTATCCTTCGTCTTTCCGAAGATTCTAAGCTTCTAAATTCCTCGCAACTTCCATTACACTGGTTTATATATTTTTTTCTATTGCCACTCAAATTGTTACTACCCTAACTTCTCTGGGATCTACCCTGACAGTTTCACATCCCTCTGTGGAGGTATGGCAACTTAAGCCGACATACACACGTGCCAGGTTCTACGATGCGACTGACTTCAAATCATTAGGGCGGCTTGCATCAATAATATGGTTTCATGAGTAGCCTACACTTCCCCACAATCCTTATTATAAGGTATTACCGATCAACCAATATTTCCTTGCATTTTAACTGCTGAAATATAGTTCTTCAAATACAAAAATCCTAAGCCATAACAATATGTTCTTTTTTTAAGGGCTGTTATAACCTACTTGTCGACTATATTAATGCATACGCTGAATATATACTCGGAATGGGATTGACAGCTGTTATTTTATTGGTAAGTGTTTCATAGAATCTGATGTCTAAATCAATGAGTTACTTATCAACTCCATGTATCTGCAGGAACGTGTAATAAAAATTTAATTCATTCAAAACTTGAATTGATAATTTATTGGTTTACCTGTTCAAACCTCAATAAATGAGTAAGACTACTTGCATCAGAGACTCAGTTCAGTAATGAAGCGTGATAATTGGTTAGAAAACATATATAAAGCTATTTATAATATTGACTACATTTACTGAGCTAATATACTTCCTATGGCAAAAATTAAATCAAAGTGACAATTTCTCGAGCCTGAAATATAAACAGAACATGTAGAGTTAATATCCTTATCTGACTAAGTGAGACGATGACATGTTTATACAATTTTTTTAACAAAACGCTATATATCCTCTGAGAACACTGACAAATTTAACAAGACTACCAGGTTGCAGATAGGAATTCCGCACTCCCTACTTCGGTCTACGCTGTTGGGTAAGTGCAACTAGCCCTCAAACAAAAAATATTGACCAAAGTCGAGCACACATTTCACCCAATTAGTAAATAACTTTAAACTTGAAGTTTACACTTATACTTAAACTACAGTGATACTGAAGTACGTATGTGGAGAAATTATTCGCAAATAGAGACTAAAGAGGGTGGAAACAAAACCTTTGTTAATTCAAACAATAAATTCAAAAGTCCAACAATGTTAGTATATAACGTGGCTGGATAGTATTTTAGTAATTAGATTCAAATATTACAATTTTTTTTGAAAATGTTCAAAGTAGAGAGAGATTGAGAGTTGTAGTCTCCGTCCAACAAACTAACTGATAAATACCGGTATTCCAATGTCGTAATCAAAAATATATGTTAACGTGGCTTATTAACCAAGTAGTAGACTTGTATACCTTGAACTAATGTTTATTTAAAAGATAATCATACTACTCAGCGAGTAAAAGTGAAATAGGTAAGAAGTGAGGTTCGGTCCCGTAACTTCACTAATTGAAATTTGCCAACTTTAATCATTTGAGCAATTCCTTTATAAGAAACCACTTTCCTTCATATCATTTATTCATTTTCTCATAGATAACCGTATTTCTGTTGCTGCTACGCGCAGAACTTAGGAATAGTCCAACTGATCTACAAATATACGACAAAAACTTATTAAAAAACAATCAGAATAATCATTATTACTTTGATAATAAGTAACCTGCACATATTTCAAAGAATGCCAAATTTTAATGACCCGTCATCAGCTCAATCATTTGATCCTCCATTAAAGTCTCTCAATTTAATTACTACTCGAAAACTCTACACGTTGACTCAATTATCTATGTCAACAGCAACTACCAGGAGTTGGTCGCTAATCCTTTCACATAAAATAAATGTGACTAACACATACCACATGGCTGTCAAGCTTTGTTGAAAATAATTCCTTTTGCATTTCACAGTCCCATACATGACAAATGAATATGTACTTTTGTAATATTTGCTGTATATACTTTCTAAACTGTATAGACCTTTCTCTAACATGTTTGCAATTTCCTTGTATGACTTTGGCAATACATTATGAGACGTAACTGTCTCGGAATAAAAACCAACTGACTACAATAAATACAGACTTATCAATTATTTTAGTTTACATCTTATGCTCGAGTTCCTTTATTAACTTGTAAACTTCAATATTTGTTGTAACAAAGCTAGACAATTTACTAGCTGCTTATCTATTCATTGATGGTACAATAACTCGGGTTGCAGAATTTTAACTGTACTATGATTTCGAAAGTAAAACGTGAACCAAGAGTGAGATTGTACCACAAAAATGCAGAGCTGTATGCTTTCAACGAAAGTTGAGTATTTCAAGAAAAATCAAAGAGTAGGAGTCACTAGGAGTCAAACAGTTGGGTTGTGCAACCAATGAACTTACTACCTTGAATCTACCACACCTCGTGATAAATCTGCACACCCGCTGAAGTCTCACCCAACTAGTATATATTCAGTATAATTTTATTTGGTATCCGGATTTATTATTATTAGTCGCCACTGTAAAACACTACACATTTGAGAGTATCAGTCAATGAACACCCACTTCCCTGACGAGTACTTTTTTGCACAGAACCGAAGTATGAACTGATAAAATCACTTCTCATAACTTTATTCTGAAAACATTTGCATTTTGCACGCGTTGTATGACGGGTGTATTCGAAGCACCACCGTAAGTAGTGGAATGACAGCAATTAATTTTGAGGTTAGACGACTGATAACACTGAATTATAATCGAATGAAGCAATTAGATGATGTACCACTCGTACTAGAACATGATCTCAGGAAACCCACGCTTGTTAACATGAGTGAATTGAAAAAAAAGGGAAATACCCACCAGTTAACACATATATTGGTTGTAGTCCGTGAGAAAAAAGTGGTCAATTTGAATACACGTTTGTCTTGGAATCAAGCTAGCGAATAACTGTGTCCTCTGTATTTCGAAAGTGCCTGTTTTGAAGTCAAAGCTAGTAGTATATATATAGCCGTTGATACGTCATAATTACTATTTAATCTTCCTCAACCTTGGGTTCCAATATTATCTCTCGCTAGTTATCCCGTCTTTTCAAAACATTTCTTCTAGTTCTAGTCGTTGAACCTGATACGAATACTTTCCGACCCATCTTGCCATTACTCCACCTTCCTGATGTGGTATATCCTTTACAGACCCACAAGTCCGCCGATTATTACTAACAGAAATAAGCTTGAAGGTCGGTTTATGATTACTCAGCCTACTAATATTTGAAAAATGAGATTGACAACATTCAACACTACGGTGTGAGAGCAAGTGACACTACCGAACATCCCTACACATCACATCCTTATTCACGTCAACAAGAGCTTCTTGCAATTTTAGACTAACCACACCCTTAAGCTCCAATGGCTTCAATGATCAAGTTCATTTTGAACTACATGCTTACAAATTAACATTATATTAGAACCTTTTACCTAGTTGGATCTGCAAGATGATCAAGAAACAACTAGAGACGTTACATTCCCTAAGTTTCGTGTTGCTCCTTTATTTTTGTGGATGTCTGAAAAACGAGTTTCGCTCCTTTGTACTGGCCAGTTTTTACACAGATATTCAAAGACTGACCCAAAATATGCAACTACGTATTGTTTGCTACTTGATTTAATATCAATATTACTGAACACCATACTACAAAACCCATATGAGTTAACAAATAAAGCGTACAAAAAGATTAACCACCCGCTGGAGTATTTGTTTGTATATAAGAATAAATACATATGAGACACTACTAGAAAAACACTAAAATAATGTCGCACTCTAGACTAAAAAGATATCGATATATTCATTATTTTTACTCAGTGATACCCTACACGTAGCTAGTCTGCCCTTGAACCTAGCTCGGAACCAACGTGCGCAAACATGACTGGAGAAAATCGTAATGAGTTCTTCTTTTCATTTTCTATCGGTAAAATACAACCATCATAAAAATGCACATTTTATCAGAAATAATCCGGTGACACTCAACCATGTTATATTTGGGTCGATGCACCTTGCAGTAAGCCTGAGTGTACCTGCACTTAGCTTCGCCAGCACATCTATCGTCATGAATATAGAATAACTGTCTGGAAATAATGAACAAAGATGAATTCGATGTATGAGATACATAATGGACTACCGCGTGAAATTTCAAATGCAAAATAAAATAACCCGTTTACAAAAACGCATTTACCATCAATATCCGTAAAATACTTTACTGAGAATATTCATACGCATGTGTACATAGGAAGTGTTGATAGCTGACTGCGTTAGATAACCATAACATAAGCAATGCAATATTTTAAACACAAACACTAGTAAAAGGAAGCGCGTAATAGATATGCGCCACATAAGTCATTCGATTTATGTGAGGGCTGGGATACAGCCTGAGTGTAAACCGAAACAATGACAGGGTTGGATCCAGATGCAGTACGGACCGACCACCTGACGCTCATAACCTTAGTATTTTAAATTAAAACATAAGCATAGTCATAGTAGCAATGCCCATGAGAAACGGTATGTCCTTCGCACAAACAGGTAGAGGACTAATTCAGATTAGTAGGAACCAGAACCATTAAAATCATAGATTGTCCAGCATACCCATACTTACGAGCAGTAGGATGTTCAAATCCCACTTTACAATGGCTAAATATTGAATTACAAATTACTGAGTATAATCAGACAGATCTGGATAAATGCTTGTTAATTACACAAACACAACGCTGGAAATCGATCACTTATTGTGACACAACTACACACGTGCCGAGCATGAGCGAGAAAACTATAGTGCAAGCAGAACACGAAATAGCTTGAATGTTTTCTTGCAGCGTCCGAAGATGCTCCAAGAAATTTCAGACGGATAAATTTGACAGTAACAGAAAAACTAATTAAGAGGACAAGCAAATTTCAGTTATGTTGCACTCATGTCAACTAATCGATCCTTGAGAATGCATGATATCCGTGCATTTTAATAGGACCTGAAAACATCTAATCTAACAGTTTTGGATAAACGTCGCAGCAACTCAAATGGTAGGCGTCAAAATTTTTAATTAAGGAGCTTGTGACAAACCTACTGTTTTTATAAGATATCGGACCTGAACTTGACTATTTACAGTACAAATAAACGCGACGGAGTAATATTGAAAGAAATCGACCTAGATCATTCATGAACTCAGAATACAAGCATCTGAACCGCACTTCATTTATTTTTAAGTGTACTAATCAAATAGTCCAAAGCCCATATCTTCTTCTGATTCGGACTCTTCTTTGACCTCCACCTTTGCTGGCTTGACTTCTTGCGGGGCTTCAGTCTTACTTGATGCTGCCGCAGCAGGTGCAGAAGATACAACAGCACCGGATGATGGTATGGAGGATAACTTCGTAGATCCTTCAGCAATTAGTTGTGGTATATCTTTGCCAGACAACGAAGACAACAGCTACAAAGTTAACTCATAACTGCTAACTTACCTTCTCGAGTCTCTCAGAATCATGCTCAATGCCAACAGAATTTAAGACAGTTTTGATATCATTTTCAGTAGGTTTCTCCTTACCACCTAACTGACAGAGAAGAAACGCAGCCAAGTAACGCATCACGCCTGAAATTCACTATTTCCGCGAGTAACTGTTAGCCGGGAAGTAACAAAACAAAGGGTTCAATAATTTGTGAGTCCTTATTGTGATACTCATACTGTAAATTCTGGAGTACTAGGTCTGCGTTATACGCAAGAATACACGGTTTAAAATTGAAACTTTGCTGAACAGTGCGAGAAAACTGCAAGTTCCTTTATATATTTGTCAGGGATGTTAGGGTCAAATTCCATTTATGGTGTATTTTTGAACGGGAAGTTTAGTCATAAAGCGGTTTGCATTTATGAAACTTTTGCTGTGTTCTTATGCAACAAAAGTACCACATCTGATCAAAAGAATCTATTCGAACGGGAAGTTTAGTCCTAACGTGATTTGCATATATCAAACTTTTGCTGTGTTCTTACGCAACAAAAGTACCATTTCAGTTCTAAAAAATCTATCCTGAGCTATACGTTCGGTAGATTACTTTTTTTTGAGTTTCACTATATTTAATAGTTACCTGTGGTTTTGCCTCAGCTTACTATTCGGTTTTTTTTGTTTTTCACGTATAGACTAGTTTCAGTTTATATCACTCGTTTTGTCCGTTTTTGTCCGTTTTCAGTGTGCATTTTAGTGTTTTTTTTAAAAGGTCTTAAGCTTTGCCAGCATCTATAACATAGTTTGCTTCAACACCGTCATGAAAAACTCATGCAAACGTCCGGGATGCCGTTTTGCTGTCACAACTGGCATGCAGTGTGACAACTGCAAAGGTTGGTTTCACGAAGCATGCACAAATCTGACAGCAACTGCTTACAACAAACTCAGCAAGTCAGACCAAAAGTGGGTATGTGTCACGTGCAACACGGACGCAGTAGTCTTGCTGAGTAACATCATTGTCCTACTGACAGGTCTTCGAAACAAGCTGTCAGTTAACTTGGAATACGACAGTAAAAAAACCGATATACAAACAAGAGCGCGCAACGGACTCAAAAATAGGGATGTCGATAGGTATGTCATCGATGGAGCATCCATCAACACTAACGACGACGTGTCGAGGCTCAGTACCATCATTACGTCGACGGTACTAGACTCC